TTTGACAGTAATATTTCACAATAGCATGACTTGTCAGATGTGGGCCAAATAAATAGGGGTGGGCTGTGGTAAGAGGAACAGGAAGAGAGGAGCCGAGAGAGAGAAGGTGGAAAGGCAGACAGCAAGAGCGAGAGCTTGTCACGTCGGCAAGTGAAACCCTTCATAGCAGTTTTTTTTTCTTCATAAAGATTTTGACAAGACAAGTGTCAAGCCAAAAATGCTGTGCTCTGTCTGTGGTGACTTCAGAGGATGATGCTTTGAAGGGACAAATTTCATAAGACAAAGGTAAGAATAAAATTACAGAATTTAGATTTACTGTATGACACACAAAGTTAGCGTCTGTGGGTAAAACAAGGAGAATTAGTGAAGCTTTTGGTAAAATATACAACAGAAACCACAAATCAGCAGCAAGAAGTTGACATCTCCGCTCAGGTTGTCAAACTCAATTACTGCCATTCAGCTAGGAGGAATATATTACTCACAGATGGATTTTGAGTTTAAACATCTGTAGTCAACATGCTGGAACCTGCCAAACTTGTTTCTCATACATTTCTTTGGAAGAGAGAGACACAGATTCTGTCTAGCTGTCTTCATGTTTATTCCAAGCCACTTCAGGGTTGATATGTGTGATGTTTGCTGATCATTCTTCTCAGAAGAATTAATAATGGGGTTCTCAATGTCTTTGACCTAAGATCTTTGACCTAGCCCCTGCCTCTGTGTATCTTCTTGTCAGGGTTTGACAGCGAGATTAATGGACTGCACAGAGATCAAAGCTGAAATGGCTGAAGAGGGGCTGCTGGAACCTCTCGTGATCACTGAAGAGGGAGACATAACTGAGGGTGTTGCTGAAAGAGGAGCAGCGAGCAGTTCGGCTATAATTGTACAGAGCTTCAGCGGAGAGTCGGCTCTGAGAAAGGAAGAGGAGCACACGGGAGAGGACAAGAATGAAAATGATATAGTGAGTAAAATGGGTTTAGAGGAGCAGCGCCTGGAAAAACAACACACCAGCACGGAGGACGACCAGAGAGGAGAGGTTGTTGTGGACAAAGAGGATAAAATGGAAGATGATAAACCAGTGGAAACTGAGAACATGAACGATGGACAGAACAGAGGTGATAGTAAGAGTCAAGGGGAGACAGTGATGAGGATTAATGAAAATCCTGAGAAACCCAGTGACACACAAGATGAAAAGGTTATGGACATAAAGAGGTTAAATTCATCTGAGCAACAACCTGAAGGGACGCAGAGCGAAGAGGAGGACTCAAAAAAGGTTTGTGTTTGTAATGTTCTTGACTTTACCTACCGGCCACCATGTTCTCTGTGAGAAAACACAGTCTAGTGATGGAAAAACAGCGGATATCATTTTGTTACTGAGCATGTGGGAGTACGTAGGAGTCAAGTGAATTCTTTTGCTGTGCCAACAAACAGTCTGTGCCACTTACTGAGAAACCTTTCCTACCTCCCTCATTTTTTTTTTTTTCTTCTGCCACCTACCCACGTTTTCCCAGGCTCACCGGTTAACCCCTGACTTCCCAGAGTCACTGTACGAGCTGCTCTGCACTCTTCAGGAGGGAAGGCGGCTCAATGATCAGCGCTGCTCCTTCAGGCTGGAGAGTGGGATGCGGAGGCGTAGGTGCCACTCTGAGCCCAATGCAAGCAAACCAGCCAACAGAGGTGAGAGCACTTTGAGCGGCTATATGTGCTTTCAAGTTGATGGAACTGATGCAGCTGTTGCAATTGTTTCCATGTAGTGTTGCTGACTCATGTTGATCAAGCTGAAACAACATGAAACTGCTAGTTCTTTGTGACTCAAGACTGTTTTGAAACGTGTGCGACTAGCATTTTTCCCTGACCACTGACCACTTGATGTCTCCTGCTATCTGACCATCAAAAGCTCTTTTTCTCTCATTTCTTCACAGTTGTTTTTTCCTCCATGACTTCACTGCAGAGAGAGGAGTTTTTTGAGCTGGTGGCCACCGCTCAAGCCCGCCGGCTGGATGACCAGAGGGCGCAGCTTGAAAGGTCACCACCACCAAAACCAAAAGCCAGAAGTTTCAGAGGCAGCATAAAGCAACTCTCTTTTGTGAAAAAGCCGACACCAGTTCCTGTGCCTAAAGAGGATCTCTATAATATGATTCTCACGACACAAGTAAGCAATCGCAACTAGTTTGTTTAGATGATTTGATTATGGTATAAAGCTATAAAACTGCTGAGAAAGGCACAGAAAACATCTTGCAAAACCTCAGTATCATGTCAACTTCAGGACAATTCCAGGCTTTCACTTACCCGCTTTCCTTCCACCCACAGGCCCAGGGCAGGCTGGAGGACCAGCGCAGCAGGGCTCCTGGTCCCATGGATGATGAGGACTTCTTCTCCCTGCTCCTGAGGGTCCAGGGGGGGCGGATGGATGAGCAGAGGACTGAACTACCGTGCCTCCTGCAAACCTGAGATGGAGAACAAAACAAAAAAACAGAACAAAAAAAACTGTGGGGCTACTGTGGAAGCCATTCCAGTATTGCAGCCTTTTTAGTTTGATTTCCTGCTAAAAGAGGGGTTGAGTTGACCCTGATGATGCTTTGTTTTAGGGAATTATTACCCCTCTTGATGGTGTTGGTCACTGTTAAAGCTGTTGAGATTGTAGCAAAAACGCTAATGTTTGAGCTTTTAACATGACTATAGCAATGTTCATGATGAGACTGAGAAGTTTACTTCTAGGTAGTTTGTATTTTCATTCATCCTAGTAAATAGGATGAGCAGATATTCTTTCTTATTGCCAAATGTTGCATTTTAGTGAATGTCTGCAATGAGTGGTTGAATGGTTTTGTGTGTGTTCCTGTTCTCAGTGTGGAGGAGGCGGGCTACCGATCTCTGTTGTTCTCCTTTTTTGTACAGTTGACATTAAACACACCAGGAATGGTGGTGGGGAGATAGAACCTCCAGGGCCACAGAGCGCTTGACTGTATATGGATTATTCTCCTCGAAAAATAAACAGAATGTCTGTCTGAGCTATTTGCATTTATCCATTCGTTCAATTTGTCCAAAGTCTTGTCAGGAAAAAAAATGAGCTTGAACACACACTCTAATGGGGGTGTCATTAGGCCACGTATTCTTTCACTCTTATTTAATTTTTGCACAGCGAACACAGTGGCGTGTATGTGCGAGCAGTGACACTAGCAAGGATGTGTAAAACCTGTTCTGTTATTTTCATTTTTATTCATCATTCGCTTGCTTAGGCACATTCCCACAAACTTGATAGTGTCTAATCTTTCTAAAACATCCTGTCGCACATACATCAAAATGTTCACACCCTAATAGACAAGCTTGTGACGTCCCATTTAGAGCAGGGAACAAATAAGACAAAGACTAAGGTGTTAATTTTTTACAGAATAGATTGACTGATAACAGATTTTATCTTGCTCCTAAATTTTGGTTTACATTACTGAATTCTTTTTATCGAAGGTCATGTCGACATAAAGGTAAACCTTCTAAGTGACAGAACAACTAATTTATCCATCTGAAAGCAGCTGTAAAAATGATTTCAAGTAAAATATTTAATGTGTGTGTCGTTATGAATATTAATATAGATAAAAGGACTTTATCAAACCACTGATAACAAATGTGGCAGTAACTGTGGAGTTAATCTGCCCTACAGTATCTGCTGCTAAATCGAAGGTGAGTGCTACTCATTAAAACCCATGATCCATCTCCTTGTCTCTAAAGGTCTAATGTACTTGCAGAAATTCACTAATCAGGGCCACTTTGTGTCACTAGCCAGAAGGGGCCTCCTGGAAACCTGTGACCTGCTCTGATGTAGTGTGTGTTTAGTCTACTCAGCTCAGGGGAAAGCTTTCTGAGGAAGTCCTGGTTGGTCTGCACAAGGGAGGTTAGAGGTGACAAGAGGACATTGTGTTACTTCCTCAAACACTACAATTATGGATATGTGATAGCAACACTAACCAACACTGCTGGGTAGGATTCACACTAGAAGAAGAAAACATATTGCAAGTCAAAAAGTAGAATAAAAAATGTTTCCTCAAAGGTAATTAGTTTTTTGTTGAATTATAAAAACAATAATTATTCTGTCACATGGCCTGCTTTTGAATGCCTTTGCTTCAAATCATCTAGTGATATAAAGGCAGATAAACAACTTAAAAAAAAGAAGAGGAACAGAGGAGGAGGAGAAGAAAAGCATGTAACAAAATAGAAATCATATTTTTACCAAAATTGTGAAAGAGTCAAACAGGAAGAAACAACAGCAGGGCGACTATTCAGGTTCAAGATCCACTTTTAGGATGGACATGTGCAATATATATTTATACTAGGTGTGGGTCAATATACTCTGTAGGCATTTTGTGTATGGCGTTTCAAAGACCAGATATTAACCAGGTCAGCACCTGTTTTCCGTTATTATTTGAATGACTAATTGATAGATCCTTCTAGTGTGATATTATGATATTTTACTCAGAGTTGTGAGTGTAAAACCTTTAGTTGTGTCTATGTTTATCTCAAGCCTATCAATGTCACTCCACAGTCAATACCTGTATTTTTATTATATTATATTGTATTGTATTTTTATTATATTATATTATATTATATTATATTGTATTGTATTGTATTGTATTGTATTGTATTGTATTGTATTGTATTATATTATTTTATACTATATTGTATTGTATTATATTGTATTGTATTATATTATTTTATATTATTTTTTATTATAATGTATTGTATTTTTTGGCTTTTCTCTCCAGCTCCGCCCGTCGTGTGACGTCACCGACCATCTGACTGAAACCTAGGACTTTCAAACAAGGATGAGACAGGAGCCTGGAAACTACGGAGTATTTAAATATGGGTTTCACCATATATTTCCTGAGTCATTGTTTCAAACATAGTTTACTCTTATAGAAAAACTACTTCGTTTATGTTTTTTTTGATGTGTTTAAATAAATTACAATTGTTATTTTTCTTTGGCGACATTGCCTGCCGTTGTTAGCTAGCTTGCAACGGCTGCGTAACGTCACGGTCTCGTCCCGCTCTTGTAGTCCCAGGCCGAAACAAGGATGTGTGTAGCTCGAGATGAAACTTAAGGTGTGGGAACTACAGCAGATCTTCATGCTTAAAACAACTTTACAGTCTTTTGAGGACATGAATGAGGACAAACACGCTCAGTGAGAGGTGAATGTAAGTGCTTCAATCGTGGTTTCAACGGTTGGTAACAAGCTCAGCCGTTGCGACGTGCAATTGGATTTACTGTGATTTCTATGGTCAGTGTAACTTAAAGTTATATGTTTTAAGTATATGTGTTGTTTCGTTCGTATGGCACGATCCCTCATGAATCCAGTGATGGGAATTCATGTATTTTTTAAATAAACCCATGTTTGTATGTACTGGACTATTGGAGGTGAATTTACTCAAGTACTGTATTTAAGTACATTTCTGAAGTACTTAGACTTTACTCGAGTACTTTATGTGCATGCATAGTATAGTGTGTGTGTGTGTGTTAGGGTTATATATATATTATTTGAAACAGAGCTTTTAACATGACCTGGCTGCTCCATTCCCTTTCCACTCGGCCCTGATCCCCCACATTATCATTGTTTTGTCATTTAATTAGTATTTTAGTTTATACTATTAATTTCTGAGGTTCAGTTATTCAGTGCATTGGTTGTGAGATGTGGTTGATCTTGATTTGTAGGTTTGGTGTGCTGGAAGGGTCAGCCCACTCTGAATATTTTCAGGTTTTTTTTCCTAGGTTAGTGGTGTTGATCAGCAGCTCAGTCAGGGGAAGGGCAAAGGTGTGTGTCATTAGGTCGTCTCAGCAGCGCTGAGGCAGGGGGCAGGGGTATGTGAGAGGGACAGAGCAGGTGGCAGTTCACTGTGAGGCTGCATGGGTTTATTTTTTGGAATTTCTCGCAGTTCACTTTTCTTCTGTTTGGTAATATTTTTGTTACACAAGTGTTGTACACAAGTTTACTGTGCATCACCTTGATATGTGCCTTACCTGGAGTTGGCTTCCAGTGTTGTTTTCCACATGTGCTTGTTCTTGATGAAGGTTATCAGTGTATTATTAACTTTGTACATTGCCAAGCACTCTGTATCCATGTGTGTGGCACTGAGTCCTAGGCCTTGTTGTGGTCCAGTCCAGGTGGTGCTCTGGTTGGTCTGCCTGGTCTTAGAGCCTTCAGTGATTGCTCCAATATCTTAACTCAACATGCTGACCACAGATTTCAGCTGAAATAAATTTGAAGCTTCATGTGTCTGAATTAAACAAACCAAGGAGGTATTTTCCCGAGTTACAGTGTTTTTAGTACCAAAGTCCCTCTTTTGTTACAATCCCTCCACGGCAGCTCAGCAACACTGTCCTTGGAAACACAAGGAGGGAATTTGTTACTAACAAGAGTGGACCTTGGAAGATTCCCACTTAATTTTTCTAACTGAGAATGCATTTTGCGCAGAACCAAGACTGTGGATTTTGTCCCTTATCACTCACATTAAATTGATTTAGGATGGGATCTCTCTGCAGCCAGTATGAACAGGAGAAACAATTACAGTGACCAATAACCCTTTCAATTTGCATACTGTATGGGCATGTCAGTACTGTTTCAAGATAGATTTCAAAAATATGCGAGTGTATCTTTTAATTTGCTAATGTCCCGAGTACCCTTGTAACTGCAAATGATTAATGTAAGTCTGTCTCTTAGATGGTTCTGTTCCTTTCCCTGCTGATCTCCTTTGTGCCACTAGGAGGTGGTAGCTCACCAATCAGCTGCTACAATGACCAAGGAGAGGCTGTTGATTGGTAATTCATCAGTTATATTCCTTAACATATGTTTTTTTGTTTGTTTTTTTTAAAATCCAAATAGGTGTCATAAGTCACATAATGTTCTCTAAAGCCGACATGGTAATTTGAAAATTAATTTAGTATGTCCAACAATGTAAATAGTTCTTAAACGTCTGCCTCTCTCTTTATTCTATTTGTTAGGTTCTATATGTACAAGCTGCCTAAAAAACATGGCAGTAAGTCTCCTGAGAAGGGTGAAATGTATTTACTTTTGGACAAAGGGAGCGAGGGATGGACTGAAGGGAAGGCAACAGTGAACGACACCACAGGAGCCTTGGGCAGGACGGTTGGACAACTGTACTCACAAGGAAAGGTCTGATCCTATTTGGTGTCTTTTTGTCTGTAACAAATTCAACAAACTCAGTTTTGTTTTACTGATGTTGGTTAAAATTATTACACAGTTTTCAGTTCCTTATTATTCATGCAATAAATATATGCAGGTTTAATGTGAAACGGTCAAGCCAAAGGCTTTTTTATGACAGCCAGGGATTTGTTGACATTTCTCTAAAATACAAATGATGTCCTTTAGAAATATTGATTTATCCAGTTGATCATCTTTTACAAACTAAGGACTCGACACTGCAATTACTCTAAAATTGATGCTATCTTCAAAGTCCAAAGGATAGAGTTTTTGTAATAAGATTGGATTGTTTTTGTCCTCACTTTAGTTTTATTATTTATGTATTTATTTGGATGCCCCTTTAGCTTTAGCCATAGAGTGGTGTTTACCTAAGCAACATCAGCATAAGTAGAATACCAAAAGCAGATGTCATTTATTTTTGTCTGCTTCTGCTTTTTCACTGCAGTCTCATGACTTCTCATTTCATAGACAGACTTATTAAATGCAGTTGTAAGCTTTTTTCCTGTTAGCACCACTCATCATAATTATATCAGAACAAGAAACTGAGAATGAGAACTGAAAACTGAAAACTTAGCTCGTCTATTTGTATGCAGTTTGTCTGTTTGTCCCACTGCAGCTGCTGGAGTCGCAACACAACAGGTTCAACTGCAAGATCCCTACATACAAAACATGTATAGGAATTACACTTAACTAATCCAAGTCCTGTTTTATTTTGGGTTTCAGCTTAAACGTGATGGTGCTTGTGGTTTTTGTGTTTTAATATGTGTCCAAATATGATGGTTTTTAACTTCAGCTAAAAAAAAACAACCTCTGCCCTCCTCACAGAGCAGAGAGGTAGCGTACATCCTGTACAATGACCAGAGGCCACCTGAGGACTTTGGTGACAGATGGGTTGTCAACACTGGAAGCAGCGGAGGGGGGCACACGAAAGGTGAACACCAGTCTAAAACTCCTATTGCCTAGACAGGCTGCAGAAGATTTGGCTTAATAGTCAAAATGTAATGTCTGTTGTAATGTATGAAATGATGGATTTCTTAAATCTTAATAAATCTTATATACTGGTTTCACCCAGCTAAAATGAATGTTGTCTAATACAACAGTCCTGAATGAAACCCCGCCTTCATGAAGGTTATAATGTTCAGTTTTAGAGGTGCTGATTCAACTGTGCGATCATTTCGGATGATGCAGTTTTCTGTTGAATTGTATTGTGTTACACTGACAAGTGTTCCTGTTTCTTTGTCCACCCCATTTACGTCAAGGAGTGTAGGCTAAATGCCAAGTTCTCAAATTCATAAGGCATTGATTGTCACATGTGAAGAAATTCTGAGGCTGCCCTACCAGAAGGAGGGAGGTGACATTTCAAAATAATAGATAATAATGATAGATTTAAATATTTTTTTACTATGACAATAATAATGATAATAATAATAATAACAGGAACACCTTAGCTGGTGACTGAGTGTATTGTTGACTTGTATGACCCTTTGTTACTTACTATGTGAATGTATGGGGAAATACATATAAAATAAATGGAAATCCAGTTTTTATACTTCAGAAGAGTGCCATAAATAAAACTACTAAAACTACATGGTAGATTTAACAACAGCAGAAATCTGGTATCTTGTATGTATAAGGCACAAAACGTGAAAGCATCCAAAAGTTGTGTAAAATAACAGACACCGAAAATAACTCAAGAAAAATCTGCATGTTTAAGAAAGAGGGGATCAGGACTAATGTGACACAACATTTGTGTTTCTGTTAAAGTGGTGGATTTATGGAGCAGCTGTAGTGAGTCGCAGACTTTGTGAGATTTTTTGATATCGTATAGTTTGTGATGTATGTGTGCTATGTCGACTGTACGGTTTTGTTTGGAGTAATAACCATTTGTCGTTGTCTGTTTTTCTTTTCTTTTGTCCCAAATTGTTTGTGAACTACTTTACACACCGGAATAACTTTCAGTTGTCAGTGCTTGACATGAATTTGCTGACATTTTAAAATATCTCTGCTCCTCAGGTGTTGTGCTGCTGGACAAAAATCAGGGCTTCTGGTTGGTCCACAGCACCCCTCACTTCCCCCCTGTGCGACAGGCAGGAGAGTATTATTACCCCAGCAGCGGTGTGACCAACGGACAAAACTTCATCTGCGTCTCCTACCCGCTCGACCGCTTCCAGACCATCGGTAAGACTGGAGTCCTGCTGCGTGGCCCCTCTTAGCACAGGCAGAGCTGTTATAAAAGCGCAGTCAGCACTTTATGAGGATGTTTAGATGGGTGGTGTTATCACATTACAGTTATGTGAGTTGTGAAGAGAAGGACCAGGCAGCTAATGAAAATTCATACTCTGCCTCGTGTCTGCTATTACATTATATTGTTCTGGCTCAGTGCGATTTAATTAACAAGGAACCGAAGAGTTCATTTTCAAATTCCTATCTATATTGTTGGAAAAAAATAGGTCATTTCTTGTGCAGTATATTAGAAATTCCAGTTGCTACAGCCTCTGAAATGCTGCTATTTTGTCTATAAGATTATAAATAAAAATAAGCAGATATTTTGTTTTACTGATATATTAGGTCTTTTTTATTTAAGTTTCATATTATTTATCATATCAGCCAATCACTTACCTGCCTCTAAAACCTGTCATGATATATAATATATCTTAAGAGATAAAAGTTTAAGTAGAGTTTTAGTTTCCCATGAGGATGTATCTGCTGTTTTTAAGTATAGAAATAATACAATTTTCTGCCTTTGTCAAACCATAACACACTTTTTAAGGTATTGAATCACAAATTATGTTTTCAGCGTAGTTGTGGCATTATTTATTACAAGGGGTGTCTCTTTTCGAGAGCGATTTCTTCAGTCGCTGTTGTCTCGTTGTCACCCGGTACTTGATAATCCAGTCAGGTATTGACACAACAACAGCAACAATCCCTAACCAACATAATCAGCGTAAACAGGTGTCATCACCATGTCACTGCGCTGCCTCTGCAGTTCCCTGGCAGACCCAGCAGTTGGCACAGTTGCTAAGGCAGTGCCTGGGGTAATGTAATTAGATTGAGGTTTGTAACCATAGAGATATTGGCCCTCACACTGCGGCAGGCATTTGTTTCATCAGATTCTCGCCTCTCCAGCTGGGATGTTGAGAGTGTCACAGTGTCCGGGGTGACGTGGATGCGCAGCGTTATAAATGTTGTGTCCGACAGCAGAAGGTGATCACAGCCTTGTCACGTTTCCTTTTACAACACCTTGCAGCATGAATTTGCACATTAATGAGGCGGAACGGAAATTTAACACAGCTACTACGTTTTTTTTTTTACACCGAGTTCATAAATACTACCTATCCATTATGTGAAGACTAGTATGTTGTCAGAAATATTTGCTCATTTATATTTTAATTAGCCCAATTGTAGATTTGATTAGCATAACTGCTTATGTTTTATGCATTGATTTAGAACTGAAACGACCGTTTAATACGGTGCACACTGCAACTTTACACAAAAACACACACAAGTAGAAGTAGTAGTATCGGTTTGACAGCGCGTGCACAGAAAAACAAAAGGCTGCAAAGTGAGAAAACACAAGCAAATACATGAACACGCTGCAAGTTCAGACACACAACCGCACACAGAAATGCTGCAAGTCACTCAGCGCAATGGAAATGAATAAAACAACTGATTCCACACAATGTGCCCAGACACACCTGGGACACACTCGTTGTTGCTGTTTGTGGCTCGTGCAGTTACTGAGGTAGAGTGTGATGTGATGTATCAGTGATGTTGGAGAAAAGAGCTAATGACATTATAATATTACATGTTTGTTGTCCACCTTGCATTAGCCTGTTGCCGAAAAAATGCTGTTTTTATTTGCTTGTGTTTTGTCTACTGAGCCCTCACGGCCACCGTAGATCTACTGATTGGTCAAGTGACATAAACTGAATCGACAGCGATTTCACTGGGTGATTCAAAGTCATTTATCAAGCAAGATGAAAAGTTAGAGGAATATCAGTCCTAAGACCGTCCATCCTAAAGGCGGTATGAATGTGTAATCCACTCAGTGGTAGTTGAAGCATTTCACTCAACCAAAACCAAGTCAGGAAGGGAGAAGTCAGGGGATCTATCACGGCTTAATACGACAAAGATTCTCTGGTTTCAGCTTCTCAAATATGATGATTTGCTGCTTTTCTCAGTTTCATATAAATTTGAATTAAATATATTTGAGGTTGGGACTGTTGGTCGGACAAAACAAGCTGTTTGAAGACATCACCGGGGGGCTCTGGGAAATCGTGATGGACATTATTCACGAATTACTGACATTCTGTTGAATAAATGATGAATCAATTAATTAGAAAATAATGCGCTGATTAATTAATAATGAAAGCGATCATCACTTGCAGCCATAATGGAGCTCAGTAAGCAGCTGAAGTGCACAATGTGTGGAGGTTAGAATTACAGTTAAGTGTTGTGTTGTTACTGACAACAACACTGTGTATTTTTATAATAATAATAATAATAATAGTTACAAAAACAAAATGAACGACAAACACATGCAGACAAATTACTCAAGATAAAAACAATAGAAACAATAGAAGCAGAAACACCAGTAGGCAATGCAAAAGTATGTGAAATATTTAAAAGTCTATTCAAAAGCCTTGTGAAAGAAATGTGTACGTGGTTTTTCTTTTCACCCAGTAACTGGCCAAATTCAGAAGTTACTCTCCAGCACTGCTGTTTTACATGAAGAATATTATATATATATATTGGGACAGAGGCCGTGTGAACACCTGGAGTAAATGTCGATAAATAAAGGTTGTAAAAAACAAAGGAAGGAGAATTACATGTAAGAAAATAACACATACATGTATTTTTCTCATTGCTGTAAACAGCTGTGCATAGTTGCAGGTTGTTCCTTTACAAAAATGTGACCGAGACGGTGCTCTTCATTTACTGAACTAAGCAAGTTCTGATTCTGGAGTGCCGTTAGCAGCGTTTGCCTTAAATCTCATTTGTTTGGCACCACAGGAGAGCAGCTGCAGATCAATCAGCCTAATGTGTACGATTGCGATGTCCCCGAGTCCTTGGCGTCCCTGGTGCCTGCGCTGGCTGCCGTCTGTGAGAAAAAACATCTGTCTGGTCACATCTTTCCACATGCCAAAGCCGTGTCCAATCGCAGCGTGACTTTGACCTCAAAGGATGGAACCAACTTCATCAGCTTTGCCAAAGGATCTTCTTTTGACAATGGTACGACTTTGGAGAAATAAAAGTAGTTTAGAGTTTGTCCTGGCTGCAGTTCACCTTCACGTTTAGTTTTTTAATGTGAACATGACAAGATCTAACTGTGATATTCAAATATGTCTCTTTTTGAGTGAGCTATTATGATATTATTTAACAGCATGCAGACAGTTTACAGGAAATAAAAAATAAAAACATGTTCTCACCCATCTTCCCTCTCTGCTTCATCAGACCTCTACCACTCCTGGGTGGCCCCGGCCCTCCAGTCAGACCTCTTGGTCCAGTTCTGGGTTCGCTCCACAGGCGTCCTCCCTTCCGACTGCTCGCTGGGCTGGAAGGTCCTGGACATCAGGCTCATCAACCCGGGACAGACGTTCACTTTCAAAACCAGCCAGGATCACTCCAAGTGGGCTGTCAGCCCCAAGGCGGCCGGGGACGGCGTCAAGGGAGGAGGCTGGGTGTGTGTGGGGGACATAAACCGGAACGAGGCGGAGGAGAAGCGAGGCGGAGGCACGGTGTGTCTGCAGGACCCGGTGGTGTGGAAGGCTTACCGGACGGCAGCGTTAGAGTGTGAGGCGTGTGGAGGAGGAACCAGCTGTTGATGCAGCTGCTGGAGACAGATGGGTCAACCGGGGCGTGAGTAAGGCCATTACGCTGCATCCCGTGTGTTTCTAAGAGGAATATTTCAACATTTTGTTGATTGTATATATTTCTTTCTATGTTTAGTGAAATGACCCATGTCTACCAAACTTTGTGAAAGTTTGAGATGACGCAGTCATTCCCTTAAATGTATGGTGACCCGGAGTCATGACGTCATGTCCGGGTTGGCCTCTGTTCCGCTTGCTTTTGAAACTCAGTGCCGTCTCTCAACATTTCTTTCATCGGTCTTTCATGAAAAATGAAGCTTTATCATTTAAAATTTACTTTCCAAGACAAATCAGCTCCACTACAGCAGGTGCCATGAGAAAATGAAATCTTAAGTTAAACAAAGATTTCTTTGTGAGCACAAAAAGGTTAAAAAATGAAAGTGTAGCAGTAATGGTACTTTGCATCATCATCAATTGGTTTCTAATTGTAATCCCTGCTGTCTAAAAACCTCTCTGTGCTGCTGTTATTACAGACATGTCTGAACTAACCACCACCCCTCAAACTGTTCATGGACGCCCCTTTTCTGTCCAGCCGTGAAATTTAGTCTACAATGGTCTAAGGCTTATGGGAAATGGTGTTCATTAAAGGCAGCTAAATACATAAATATGAATAATCATTGATATAAAAACTACCGTCCTTATCTAAACACACATAAAGCCACATGACACTGCTGGGACAGGCTCTGCTCCAAGGCTGCAGTTTTAGTAATCGGTGTAGACGGATTTCTTTAACTGAGGTTTTCTTACTTCTGGAGCAGAAACTGGAAGTTACTGTTTGACTTCAGCTCTCGATAACACTGGATTTAGCACAAGATGCTGCAAGAGCAAATGTTGCTTGAATTAAGATGTCTTTATACTATTAAATATTCATGACTGAAAGTAAAACAAAACATTTTTAGGCATCTTTATCTTTATCTATCAGGAGTTAAAAACTTCTGTGGTTGTGTGGTTTGAGTGGCCTCGACTGACAGTGACCAAACAACTGACGTCAGATTCTGACTTCACGTTCATAAATCCGGTGCGCAGACATGCGTGACAGCACCTCTTTTCAACTGAGTCTCACCCACTTCAGACCAGTGGGAAGAGCACAGAGAAAAACACAGACGTCTCTCAGTGAAAATAAACAAAACTGATCCAAGTTTAGCAGAAGGTGGTGTGTTCATGTAGGACTCCATTACTCACAATAAAAAACTGACTAAGAAGCTGACTGAGAAAACTTGTTGTCAGGGACTTTTAAAGCACAAAAACTGTTTTGCTTGTTCATTCATTTGTTCAATGTTTTTTGCTGTTACATCCTCCTCTAAATTTAAAGCATCCAGAACAATGCTGAAGGAGGACAAGAAGTCAGATCTGATGGGAAGCAGAGGGGTTTGTGGGAAATATGATGTTCATTTTGAAAAAAAAAACCCACAAAAACCTCAAAGTGCCACCTTAAATGAAAGCAATGGTGTTGAGTGTCTTTACAGCCGCTGGGTACTGTTTTAACTGAAACTGAAGAGACAGTGATGCAAACTGGATGAGTGCTGCTTCATTAACTCTGACTTTTTGTGTTTAAATCAACATTAGCTGGTTTGGGGGCTTGTTCTCTGGGAGAGCATCAGGCTTTGCTTCGTTGAAACTGTATGAAAATGGATTTTTATGGGATTTTAAATTCATGAACATGTGGGATTAATTGCACTATGTAACATTGAGCACATGCACACTTTTTACTGACGATATTAAATTACAGACACTGACAACATTCAGGTGTGAGGAATGCTTTAATACTTTTGTGTTTAATGAATGTTTGTATTATTAACTGGGTTTGAAAGAGTGTCTGTGTATTTCAGATCTGCTTTTCTGACATATCCAGAAATATGTTTTGTTATGTCTTGTTCCACATACATTCATTCTGACCTTGATTTTGCTTGAAGATAGAGATGCTGGCTGTCTTGAATCAGAACAAAAAGACTAGAACAGAGGTGTATTTTTTTTTTTGTAGCTGATGTATGTTCACCTTGCTTTGTTTTCCTTATCTGTGAGAAAAATAGAAATGTCAGAATTTGACATGTGGAGACAGTCTTAATTCTTTTGATGGGATAATCAGCAGCATGGAAAGTATGTCTGTATTGAACCTGGAAGATGTTACAGCACATCAGTCAAAAGCAATGAAATTCATATAAAAGTAAATTTATTACCACAAAAATAGGACATCCTGTATGTAGTGCATAAAGAGCTTTGATGTGAGACTACACAGCACTGGAGGTGACTGCATTTCCTCCATGCATACTGTATACATTCTAATGCAATCATGGGAAAGGTGAGCACCCTTTAGAGAAAGGCACTAAAGCAATCAGTCGCATAGCATTACGCTAGCACACGTCATCTATTATTACCCAGAACCCTCTCCCCGGTCCAGCCATGCTCGTGCCTCGGCCGATAAGGAGGCCTCACCAGCATTGAGCAGGGATTACGACAACCAGAGGTCACAAGACTTATGTCAAAGTCGAGGTTATGTGTTTCAAACCTACACCGAAGTTGTTCCAAAAAGAGCGATCAGAGCTGAGTCTTTGTACTGGATGTAAACAGCAGTGAAGATGTGTCCTGCTGAGCTGCTGCAAAGTCTGCATAAATTAAGTTTAGCTTATGCTCTGTTGAGAAGTTCAGACCTGGAAAACCTTAAACCTAACCGGTGGTTTATATATATATATATATATATTTTTTTTTTTTTTCTTATTGTTGTCCTTATGGGTTTGGCACTACAGTGATAAACTGAAGCAAAGCCACAAGGTTAGAAAAAGCTGCTAGTTGTTTTTAAAGCTGCAGTAATGACTTTTTGGCCACCAGGGGGAAGAAATGCACCGAAATGAGCTGTTTAGTATATTATTGCCTTATTAAGTTGTTTCACTAACAGCTGCCAACAGGAACTTCCAGCCGAAGATGTATTTTTCTGGAGTTGTCTGTCTGTCCGTCTAATGAAAACAAGTCCATATTACACTGCTTTAGTTCTAGTTTGGTCTCTAGCAACTTCTGAGAAAATTTGGCTCACTCAGATATTTCGCTTCTAGATGTTTTACTTTATCACTGTCTGTTTGCTAGAAAACTGCTGCTGCTTGAAAAGGTATTGACAACAGCTGTGACAGTGAACCATGACATACATTTCTGGGCTGTGTAACCAAACCTCTTAACCAAAACAAGCTAAAAAACCTCACTAGAGCTGCAGAGTCGGTGATAATCGGACACAGGTTCTTCACAACTTTTTCACCTTCACATTTACGATTCGATGTTAATATAAAAATATAGATTAATGCAGCTTTATGTTTAACATGTGCTGGCCTGTTTTAAAGTGGACACTGCAGGTATTTGATGTATTTTTCCTTGATGAATTAGTTACTTGACAATTCAGACATATGGACATAGAGCTCCTTGCCAGTGTAAACACAATGTTGACATCACGCAGACGTACAAAATATATAAATATATACAAAAAACATATATCTCATATGACAAGCTCCAGTGTTTTGCTACAATGATGCACATCCACTGCATCTTCTTCCATCCACGTGTCCTCCTGATGTGTGTTGTTTACCAGGACCAGACCAGACAGGCTCTGTACTTTCAGATTTCATCATGATTCTTCCCCCAAAACAGTCGTAAATCCTTCGACGGCCTCAAGGGCGATCACTGAAAACACGTTCTGACCAATTAAATCTTCTTACATTTGGACATGTCACTCACAGCTGAGGCACACAACAACAAGGGATTTCTTGGTGGTAATTAAAAACACATCTTATTCATTGAGATGGAATGAAAAAGAAAAAAAAAAAGAAAAGTTTTTTAAGTGCTACCTGACTGGGACTCGAGAGCCAGCACCAAAATCACTCAGTTAAAAGGCTTCCATTGCTTTTCCTCTGGGTGTAAATTAGTTATGCATATTGTTTGGAAAAAAACGACGAACTGACACTGTTCTTCAGCAGCAGACGGCTGTGGTGCACACAGAGGGGCAGCAGGGGGTCTGAAATGTCTGACAAACGTGGTCTTGGTCTTGGTGTTTTGGTAGAACCAGCTTTGTAGGAGCATGGGATAAAGGCAGATGTAGATTTTTTTTTGTTTGTTTGTTTGTTTTGCACAGAGAAGGCCACATTTTCTGTCTGTGAGAGATCGCCCTGCGTTCATGTCAGGAGCACGAGAAAAATGTCACTGTGCTGTGGACAAAGTCGAGGAAAATCTGACGTCAAAACAGAGTCCTGACAAGTCTCCTCCCCTTGGCCTTGATTCGAGGAAACGTGGCGCTCGTCTCTGTGCTGATCGGCTGTGAGCCGAGAGGGGTGTTCCCGCCTTTCCTCCTCAACAGGAAGTCAACACTAGATGATGTCATGGCGTAGAAGACGTTTCCTGTAGCAGGGATGACCAGTTCTGCGTCAAGAGAAGAAGAGAGACAAATAAAGATTCAATAGAGCTTGTCAACCGTGAACCACAACATGTCCGGGTCACGTCTAGGTGAGGAATGCATGTCCTTCCTTCCTTCCTTCCTTCTCTCTCTCGCTCTCCCTCCGTCATATCTCCACTGTTGTTGTCTTACAAGTTGCACTTGACCACAATTGTCTCCAAACTACAAACAAACGGCTGTAGCTGTGTCACAAAATCAATCTTGTTTATGTACCCATCTTAAAGTCAGATTAAAGCTGAGCACAGAGAAGCTCTCCTCCCTCAGCGGCCGAACGTGAACAGACTTCTGGTGTTAAACTCTGCACATACATTATTCTGCACAGTGAAGGTCAAACATGCAAGTGATGTAACAAAAAGCAAAACTGATTTCTGCACACAGAGGGACTTTCTGCACCAAACATTCAGCAAACACAACCAAAATCGTAATAATTTTCTCTCTGTATGATTTTTAAAAGTCAGATTATCATTATTATTCAGTTTTTTTTCTCCAGTTTGACATAAAACTGGCCTCAGAAACACAATGTACATTTCCAACAGGTGGAGGGGATTGGTTCCTCTTTAGATCGTTACCTCTTCCTTCAGGCAGAAGTTGGATCAGCTCATATTTGGACGCCTGTTTGGGGTCCTGATTGTGCTTTTCTAAGGCAGAGCTGATCACAGTGGGGGTCTTATCATTGCTCGTAACCTGAGGGGAGAGAGGAGAATAACAATGACACTAGGACAGCTTGATTTGCAATAATGATATCCTAGGTCCATTGTATCCTGAGGATCTGATTCTGATGACTATCATTACGGGATCCTTGCAGATAAGAGGAAGTGAAGCTTTAAGTGCACCGTGTCACAGATAATTTGGGACAGAGCATTTTCGACAATGTCACGGCTGCTGCTGTAAATTAGAATCAAATAGTGTGAATTATTACCAGTATGCTGCGGTATAGGTTTCCATCCTGCAGGTCCATCCGTATCCTGATGATTCGCATGTCGGGCCCAGAGCCTTGGATGTTATTGGGGGGGTTGTTGCCGCAGGAGGCCGATCGGCGGTGGGATTTTGTGGGAGTGGTTGGAGTCAACGCGGTGGGGGTGGAGTCATTGGTAGGAGGGGACGTGTCAACATCCAGACAGGACACAGATGGAGATCTCATATGCTGCAATAGAATAAAAGTGACATTGCTAATGATAACCAAGGACATGATTGTTCTTCTGGAATAATGACCGAGTAGAGTACAGCGCTGTCATGCAGGTTTAGACAGATGCCAAAAAGAGCTGCTCCTGCAAACAGCGTCTTTGAAACAAGCTAATATAAATGCACAGTTGGTTTAAACATATGAATACCAGTATATTACCTTTGTGAGTTTTGACAGCAGGTTGTTGACAGGTGAGGGGAAGTCAAAGAGGCTGTCACTGTCACCAGCCAGGCTGGTCCGCGACGTGCTCAAGCTGTCAACACATGAACACATTCGAATTAGGGATGCAAATAATGATTGTTTTCATTATTAATCACATTTAATCCAATTGCCTTTTTTCTGTTAATTACTAAATCACTAGTCTACAAAATGCTGGAAAACAAAATTTCTCAGGGCCTAAGGAAATGTTTGATGAACTCAGATGGTGGCTATGGTGATATGCTAATATTAGCATTTAGCTCATTTTACTACTGATTAATCAACCAATTCTTCAAGCACTAATTCATACATTCATTCTGTCATAAAATAAATTAATAAATAATGGTAAAAATGGAATCAGCAGAAGATACAGCATATTTTGACTTAGATGACAGAGTCAAGCACCAAAACGATACATTTCCCACAATGCAACGCTGTACTGACCGTCATCAGACACAGGAACTCACAGCCTCAAGCACTTTTTAGACGCTCCTTCAGAAGGACAGAAGATATCATGCCCCTGTTTTCACTCTCTGTGTAGTTCTCCTTGTGACGTGTAAATTAAATTTCATGATAAAAGTGCTGGAGCGGCCCCGTAGTCTTATCATGAACGAAGAGTCAAAAACAACCTAAATCCTACTGGATATTATGAACTGTAAGGCTCTTTGTGCTAATATTATATCATTTATAGTTTGTGTTTATGTGTGTGTGACGCTCAGCTCGGCTTACTCTGGGCACTGTGTGATGATGACTGTTGGAGTAAGGCCACGGGGGCTCGGCTCACTGGGCGCTTCGATTTCATTGGACAGTCTGTAACTGTGATAGAGATCATCACAAACACAACTTCTCAGTGACGGCAACAAACATAACTTGCTCATATTAAAAATAATTGAATGCATTCAAGATGTTTTCATAATCAGTAACTGAACGTGTGTTTACCTTTCCTCCTCCGTTAGTGTAGGTACGCTGTGATACCACTGCATGAAGGACTCGTCAGTGCTGAAAACACAGTTTTTGCAGGAAGACTGCAGGAGCCGGATTTGAGCTAAAACCTCAAATTCCTGTTAACAAAGAGCCGCATCACCGCAAGGTTTCATAATAAATAAAAAAAAAGCACACATGTTGGCTGATCTAGTATTACTGTGCAGCAAGTTTTTTTCTCATCTAGGACTTCACGGCACTTTCCACTTAATCATTTCCTCCCTCAGAAATTCTGTTACCTCTGCTCACTCTAAT